GCTTGAGCCACCACGCCTGGCCAGATTTAAATTTCTTATAGATTGTGAACATTAGTCCCTTGTCAGATGCGTAGTCTACAAATACTTTCTCCCAGTAGGTTGTCTGTTAGTCTATTGATAGTTTGTCATTTTTGATTGTGCTTATTTGGATCTTTTTTTTTTTTCTTTGTTAACTTAGCTAGTGATATGGTGATCTTGTTTATCTTTTAGAAAAACTTATTTTATTGATTATTTGAATGGTTTCCTTGGTTTCAATATTTTTTTGTTCTGCTCTGATTTGAATTATTTCTTTTCTTCTTCTAGCTTTGGATTTACTTTGTTGTTTTTCTGATTTCTTTATGCAAGGTATCAGGTTGTTAACTTGAGATCTTTCTATCTTCTTGATATAAAAGTTTAGCGCTAGAAACCCTCCCAACACTGCTTTTGCCACATTCTAAGGTTTTGTTACATTTTGTCACTTTTTTTTTTTTTGAGACGGAGTCTCACTCTGTCACTCAGGCTGGAGTGCAGTGGCGCTACTTCCCACTCACTGCAACCTCTGCCTCCTGGGTTCAAGTGATTCTCCTGCCTCACTCTCCCAGGTAGCTGGGATTACAGGCACCTGCTACCATGCCCAGCTAATTTCTTGTACTTTTAGTAGAGATGGAGTTTCACTATGTTGGCCAGGCTGGTCTTGAACCCCTGATCTCGTGATCTGCCCACCTCGGCCTCCCAAAGTGCTGGGATTACAGGTGTGAGCCACCGCACCCAGCCTCGTCACCATTTTTATTTGTTTCAAATAAGTTTCTGATTTCTGCCTTAATTTCATTGTTTCCCCAAAAGTCATTCCGGAACAAGTTGTTTTGTTTTCTGTATTTGTGTAGTTTTGAGGATTCCTCTTGCTATTGAGTTTTGAGTTTATTTCACTCTGTTTCAAGAAGATGATTTCAGTTTTTCTGGATTTTTGAAATTTGTTTCATGACTGAGCATGTGGTCAGTCTTAAAGTATGTTCTGTGCACAGATGAGAATGTATGTATGTGTTCATTAGATGAATTATTCTGTAGATGTCTATGAGGTCCAGTTGGTCAAGTGCTGAGTTTAAGTCCAGAATTTCTTTGTTAGTTTTCTGCCTTGATGATCTGTAATGCGATCTATAAGGTGTTGTCTTCCGCTATGGCTGGCTAAGTCTTTTTTTTAGGTCCAGTAACAATTGCTTTATAAACCTGGGTGTGCCAATGTTGGGTGCATACATATTTAGGATAGTTAAATATTATTGATTTATCTATTTATTTATTGAATCCTTTATTAGTATGTAATGTGTTTGTCTTTTTTACTATTATTGGTTTAAAATCTGTTTTATTAATATAAGAATAGTGACCACTGCATTTTTTTTTTGTTTGTTGGTTTTTTTCCCATTTGTGTGATAGATGTTACTTTTTCCCTTTACTTTGAGTTTATGGGTGTCATTATACATGAGATGAGTTTTTTAAAGCCAGCAGAAGGTTAAGTCTTATTTTTTTTTAATCTGATTTGCCACTTTGTGTCATTTTCTTTTTAATTTTTAGAATTCTTTTATTTTTTTTTGAGACAGAGTCTCACTCTGTCACCCAGGGTGGAGTGCAGGCATGATCTCAGCTTCGTGAAAACTCTGCCTCCCGGTTTCAAGTGATTCTCCTGCCTCAGCCTCCCGAGTAGCTGGGACTACAGGCACGTGCCACCACTACGGGCTAATTTTTGTATTTTTAGTAGAGACGCAGTTTCGCCATGTTGGCCAGGCTGGTCTCAAACTCCTGACCTCAGGTGATTCACCTGTCTCAGCCTCCCAAAGTGCTGGGATTACAGGCACGAGCCACCATACCTGGCCACCACTTCGTGTCTTTTAAGTGGAGCATTTAGACTGCTGTGTTCAAGGTTAATATTGATATCTTAGTTTTTGTTTGCTTCATGCGCTCTGTAGTCTTGATAGTGCAGTTGCTTTGTAGGGTCTGTGGGCTATGTACTTATGTGTGTTTTTGTGGTAGTAGATATCATTCTTCCATTTCCATGTTTAGAATACTCAAGCACCTTGTGATGCCAGTTGGGTGGTAGTTAATTCACTTAGTGATTGCTTGTGAATTCTTTGCTTATGAAACTTAGTTTGCTGGAACATAAAATTCCTGACTGGAATTTCTTTCTTTTTTTTAATCTTTTTGTTGTTGTTGTTGGTGGTGGTGGTGGTGGTGGTGGTGGTGTTGTTGAAATGGAGTCTCACTCTGTGGCCCAGTCTGGAGTGCAGTGGTGCAATCTCAGCTCACTACAACCTCCACCTCTGGGGCTCAAGCAATTCTCATGCCTCAGCCTCCCCAGTAGCTGGGACTACAGGTGAGCGCTACCATACCCGGCTAATTTTTTATATTTAATAGAGGCAGGCAGCTAACTTTTTGTGTTTAATAGAGGCTGGCTTTCACCATGTTCCCCAGAGTGGTCTCAAACTCCTGAGCTCAGGTTATCCGCCCACCTTGGCCTCCCAAAGTGCTGGGATTACAAGCATGAGCCACTGCACCCGGCCTCTTTCTTTAAAAATGTTAAAAACAGACCCCCCCAATATCTTCCAGATTGTAAGGTTTCTGTGAGGAAGTCCACTGTTTGATAGAATTCATTTTTTAGGTAATATGACCCTTTTGTCTAGTTGCCTTTTATTTTTTTATTTCATGTTGACATTGGAAAGTCTGAATATTATGTGTATAGTATTCAGATACTATACTTATACTTAGGGATGGTTGTCTTGTATAGTATCTCAAAGGATTTCCTTGAATTTCTTGTGTCTTTATGTCAACCTGTCTAGCAAGATGGAAAAATATTTCGTAGATTATATCCTTAAGTATGTTTTCCAAGTTGGTTAGTTTTTTTTCCTTCTCTCTCAGGAATACTAATGAGTCATAAGTTTGACCCCTTTACATAATTCCGTATCTCTCAGAAGCTGTGTTTGTTTGTAGTGAATTCTTTTTTCTTTACTGTCTTCTGACTGGGTTGATATAAAGGAGCAGTCTCTGAGCTCTGAAATACTTTCGTCTGCTTCGTCTATTCTGTTTTTAAGGCTTTCCATTGTATTTTGAAAGTCCTGTAGTAAAATTTACAATTTTTAAAGTTGTTTTTGGTTCTTTCAAAGGAACTAACAAGATCCTTTTGAGGTTATGAAACACTCTGGCGTTCTGTATTGCCAGCGTTCTTTTGCTGTCTCATCTGAGGGAGCTGGTGCTTCTTTTGCTTTTGAATTTTCTGTGATTTGGGTGGGGCTTGAAAATGTTTTTTAATTCTTTTTTTTCCTTGAGGTTTTGGCTGTGGTGTATGTTGTGTGTAATCAGTTGGTGTCATTTAAGGTTGTTTTCAGAGGCAGAGGCTCTGTCTAGGTCCCTGGGTTGTAGATAAGTTCCTGCAGTGGATTTCATAGAGTGCTTTGTGTTGAAGCAATGGATTCTTGTTTGTGGTGGAATTCAGGCTTCAGTCCACGTACATGGTGCTTAAGAGTGTTCTGGGGAGGGAAGATCATGTGTGAGAAATTATTTTCTCTCCAAATTTATTTTGGGGCCTTGGTGATATTCCCTTCAACTGCTGGCACTGCACCCATTTCCTTTGGTTCAAGGAGAGCTTTGGTGGTCTGTGCTCCCCCCTCCCTTAGGGACAGTTCACACTTTTAGGTCACCAGGAGACCCGTATTTATATCAGGGGTCCTGCTGTTCTCCTTTGCTTGCAAAAGTAAGGGTGGGTTTTGGAATGTTTCTGTGAGTCGTTTGGTGATGCAGCGGCTCGAGGATGGAAAATTACCAGGCAGGGCAATTGCACCATGGGTTTGTAACCAGTATTGCACCTGCAGCCCAGGATTTTCAGTCCAGCGGATGGCTGTGGGGCCCACCCAGTTTGTGGTCCCTCAACTCAGCAGGTCTGTCTCCAGTGTCTTCCCTGGGAGCAGGCTGAATTGGCGAGGCTTGTTCCAAGCCATCTGCATTGAAATGGCTGAGCTCTTCCAGATGTTCTAGGCTGCTAGGCTTCCTGGGATGTAAACCATGGCTGGTCATCTGGCCACACCCTTCCCAGTTTATTCATGTGAATGAAGGGGAAGCCAGCTCCCATGCTGGCTCATGTTCCCATGTCACACTCTTCTCTGTGTGCTGACACTGTGGGCTTCTACCCCACTTAAGCTCAGACCACATATATCAGCTGCATATTATTAGTCAGTGTGCGGAAGACCTGGGCAGCTGGCACTGGGCCCATGGATTTGTCCTCTGACCCTTTGGGGTCAAGGACCATCTGTGATGTAAGTGGATGCTGTGCTGTGGGCACCCTTCTGCAGGAGCAGCCAGATTCATGGTGCAGGGATCAGGTTCACCTCAGTCCCATGACAGCTACAATCCTGCTCCCTCTCAGCCTAGCAGACAGCAGGAGATGGATCCCCTCAGTGCAAGATGCAGAGCCTCGGAGGATGAGCACCTATGGTCAGCTACAGCTGCACAGCACAGTGAAAAGTTCAGATTTCCACAAGAGTTTAAGCTGTGCCTCTGCCTATTCTCCAGGTGGCTCCCCCTGCCAGTTCACAGACGTATAGGGATCATATGAGATCCTATAATCAGCAGCTCAGGCTAGATTTAGCTGGGAATGCATTTCAAGGAGAAGGAACCAAAGTGAGAATCTCAGAGGTCCATGGCTAGACTGTGTTGCCATGGGGTTTCTTCACATATCCCTTCCTTAAGTCTGGTCTGGATCTAGGAGCCAGTCCTGGTGCCCAGTGACTTTGAGCAAGCTTTCCATCTTCCTCTTCAGCCACAGTGTCTGCATTTCTTCCGAATTAAGCTTTCTCTCAAAAGATCTGTTTAAAGTGATGTTTTACTCAACATTTTGTTTTCTCTCCTTGGAGTGAGTGTTTCCCAGCTGCATCTAGCAAGTCATCCTGTCCTTTTCTTAATTTTCTATGTTAGCTTTGTAAAGTATATGTATCTGACTCTGAAAATAACAAGTGGGATATTTTGTTAATTTTATATTTCAGCTGTGTCTTCTCATTACACTGAAGACTTTTTGCCAGAACAGGGCATGAAGGATTCATTCCAAAAGGTGATACTGAGAAGATATGGAAGCTGTGGACTTGAGGATTTACACTTAAGGAAAGATGGGGAAAATGTGGGTGAGTGTAAGGATCAAAAAGAAATTTATAATGGACTTAACCAGTGTTTGTCAACTCTACCTAGCAAAATTTTCCCATATAATAAATGTGTGAAAGTCTTTAGTAAATCATCAAATCTAAACAGACAAAGCATAAGACATACTACAGAGAAACTTTTCAAATGTGTACAATGTGGCAAAGTCTTTAAATCTCACTCAGGCCTTTCTTATCATAAGATAATTCATACTGAAGAGAAACTCTACATATGTGAGGAATGTGGTAAAACCTTTAAATGGTTCTCATACCTTATTAAACATAAGAGGATTCACACTGGAGAGAAACCATACAAATGTGAAGAATGTGGCAAAGCTTTTAACTGGTGCTCGACCCTTACTAAACATAAGAGAATCCATACTGGTGAGAAACCCTACAAATGTGAAGAATGTGGAAAAGCCTTTCACTGGTGTTCGCCCTTTGTTAGACATAAGAAAATTCATACTGGAGAAAAACCCTATACATGTGAAGAATGTGGCAGAGCGTTTAACCGGCACTCACATCTCACCAAACATAAGACGATTCACACTGGAAAGAAACCCTACAAATGTAAAGAATGTGGGAAAGCCTTCAACCACTGCTCCCTACTTACTATACATGAGAGAACCCACACGGGAGAGAAACCCTATAAATGTGAAGAATGTGGCAAAGCTTTTAACTCATCATCAATTCTTACTGAACATAAGGTAATTCACAGCGGAGAGAAACCCTACAAATGTGAAAAATGCGACAAAGTCTTTAAGAGGTTCTCATACCTTACTAAACACAAGAGAATTCACACTGGAGAGAAACCCTACAAATGTGAAGAATGTGGCAAAGCTTTTAACTGGTCCTCAATCCTTACTGAACATAAGAGAATTCATACTGGAGAGAAACCCTACAACTGTGAAGAATGTGGCAAAGCCTTTAATCGGTGCTCACACCTTACCAGACATAAGAAAATTCATACTGCCATCAAACGCTATAAATGTGAAGAATGTGGCAAAGCTTTTAAACGATGCTCACATCTTAATGAACATAAGAGAGTTCAAAGAAGAGAGAAATCCTGCAAGTATAAAAAATGTGGGGAAGCTTTTACTCACTGCTCAAACCTTACTACTTAAGAATTTTTGCTATCGAGAAATCCTACAAATGTAAGGAATATGGCAAAGTCCTTAAATCTTGCTCAAGCCATTGAAGTCACAAGATAATTCATACTGGAGAGAAACACTACAAATGTGAAGAATGTGGGAAAGTCTTCAACCATTGCTCACACTTTATTGCACATAAGAAAATTCATACTGAGAAAAATTCTGATTTTAAAGAATGTGGCAGAGTGTTTAATAACTGCTATGAGCTTACTCATGAGAGGTTTTATGCTAGATAAAAGCAATAAAAGTGTAATGATACACATTACATTTATCTGTGGAAAGAAGTCACCAAATAAAAGCCTTCGAGTGCACAAGGTGTAATGATAGTGATACATTTGTACGTGGAAAGGCTTCAAAAATATAAGCCTTAGAGTAACACAAGAGTTTTTATCCTGAAGAAAAACATTACAAATATAAAGATTGGTGCAATACTTTTACTTATGTTACAGATTTTGTTGTACATGGGAGAATTTATGCTGAAGGGTAACCCTCTAACACTTGCTCAAATTTTATTCAATTTTAGAGAATTTATATTGGAAAGAAACCCTACAACTGTAATGAATATGAAAAAAATGTTTTAAAAGTACACCTTAGAAAATGCTAGAGAGTTTATATGAAAGCATTTAACAGATGCAATAAATATAAAAAATTAATCAAAAATCAAGTCTGAATGAACATCAGAAGATTCACAGTAGAAACCACTAAGATGCTAACACTTTCAATGTTATTCTAAATCAGGGTATTGATTACAAAGAATAATTCAAAGTTAACATAATTTAGTTAGGCTAAACAGGAATAAGAGACTAATATTTTAGAACTTACAATTGTATTCAAAGTACACTGTTTTTTGCATTGAAAGAGTTTTAGATTTTTACAAAGGCAAATTTTGATGTAATTCAACTCTCAAATTACTTGATGCTGTGTCTTTATTCATAGTGTCTGTGTAAAAGCATGTGGTCAATTTCTGCTGCTCGGAGCTTTGAGAGGTTCTATATTAGGATATCATTTATATGCTTTTCAACAGAACATTGAGGACACTGAAATGTGAGGTGTGTGAAGAAAGTCTACACAGAGAAGCTTTTGTGGTTGACTTATAAAACTGTTGTAAGTGCTGCATGAGATAGATGTTCAGAGTAATAGTCTTGTGTGTTATTCAAATTTTAGTAAATTGTTTTACTGATTGTACATTCATATAGTGGATTTTGTAATGCTTTTCTTAGACTGTGTGAACTTCATTTGTTTTAATAAAACGAAATTGTTTTAATGTGTTAAGACAGTTGTGCATTGAATTAGGTGTTATCCTGCCACCAACATTAGCCTATTTTACCTTACTCAAGTTTTTAGGTAACAGACAGTAACAACATACTGTTCAGTAATATGGTGGCATGGCGTCTCTAGTGATTCTTATCCTTAGTGACTTTAAACTTCAAATACGTTGGAGAATACTGTTTCCATAGGTTACATTTTTATTATTTTTCTTCGAACTATAGAGTCATTAAGATGGTTATTATGAAAATTACACAGGCATATAATCAAAAGCCATATATTTCTGAATCTTAAATGAGTATGTAGAAGATGTTATCTTACATTTTTCTTTGAACATGCAACCTCTATGGCCTTCCCAACACACATAGACTCAAGTTTTCACTTACAGGAAAGTTTAATATATAAATGTGTTACTCTAAAGATAAAATGTAAGAGAATTATGAAGCAAGTAATTGTATTTGAATGTGGATGTGTACCTATTTTGAGAAGAAAGAAAACGTGTTAGAACAAATTGATAATTTTTAAAGTGTTGATAAGTTGCTACCAAACTAAAAACCTCAAAGAATTTCAAAGCAAATGTTTTTCCCATTTGTATTGAATTCGTTTTTCCAAAACCTTATGGTTCCTAGTTCAGAATCTCCTTATGTAAGTCCAGGTTTTACTTACCTGATATTGATAGTAGACCTAATGCATCAAAATTTATAAAGTATTCTTTATATAATCTGCTCCAGAATTATTGGAAAAATTTTTACAAACTTTAATGGTGCTTGCAAAACAATTTAAACATGTAATTCCATAGTAAGTGTATTGTAACATTTTATTTAGTACATTTTTTTTCAGTTGGAGAACTCTATGTCAATTTTTCCTTTGTTGTTCTTTTAATTTTTATAATTAACATCATTGAGTTTATTGATCTTATTGGGTTAATTTCTTTAGGTGAACACTAGGGAGATGTCCTCAGTCATGGTAGTGTTTATTTCTTCTTTTTACCAACTCCTGTGTCTCTACATCAGACATGGTGTTGTTTAGACATAAATGAAGTGAACAAACACAGAAAATCACTACCTGTGTGAAAGCACTACCATGTGTTATACACACTCCATAATTAGTGTTCCAGTTGGAGTGAGTTGGTGGCTCCAGGAGATTAAAATTATTCAGATGAAAATATGGCATTGATTCTTCGTGTCTGGAGAGGGCGTCTGTACCCAGGCTACACAACTGACTCTAAATTTAGAGGAATTGTGCTGCTTTCATTTCCTAATATCTTCAGGTTTCATTTAAGTCCATCCCCAGTTATGTATGCATCAGAGCCCTTCACTGTTTTTTGTTTGTTTTGTTTTGTCTTGTGAGATGGAGTCTCGCTCTGTCACCCAGGCTGGACTGCAGTGGCGCGATCTCAGCTCACTGCAAGCTCTGCCTCCCAGGTTCACGCCATTCTTCTGCCTCAGCCTCCCAAGTAGCTGGGACTACAGGTGCCCACCACTACCACGCCTGGCTAATTTTTTGTATTTTTAGTAGACACGGGGTTTCACTGTGTTAGCCAGTGTGGTCTCGATCTCCTGACCTTGTGATCCACCCGCATTGGCCTCCCAAAGTGCTGGGATTACAGGCGTGAGCCACTGCGCCCACCCTCCCTTCACCTTTTTACCTGAGTCACGGTTGCAGCTTTCTCACTGTTCTCCCCACCCCATGTTATTTTACACACTACTTTGTAAGCTCTCATGAGAAGTTTGGAGTGCTTATTGTGGTTTAAAAAAAAAATTTAACTTAAAATTTGTAGTCATTTACAAGTTGTAAATGCAGTCTTTGGTTTTGAATTTTTTGATATTTTTTGAGACAGGTTTACTTTTGTTGCCCAGGCTGGAGTGCAATGGCACAACCTCGGCTCACTGCAACCTCTATCTCCCAGGTTCAAACGATTATACTGCCTCAGCTTCCCAAGTAGCTGGGATTACAGGTGCCCAACACCACACCTGACTAATTTTTTTGTAGTTTTAGTAGAGACGGAGTTTCACCATGTTGGCAAGGCTGGTCTCCAACTCTTGACCTCAGGTGAGCCGCCATACCGGGCCTAAATGCAGTCTTTGGATTAATTAACTGAAGTAAGTTGGATTCACTCTCTACAGGCCAGAGGATTTAATCAGTCAGTTAGCATTGTTCACCTTTGTAAAAGAAAAATGTTACTCTATTCTATCACAGAGTGTGTACAATATACAATTAGGTAGAACAGGTAAATCATTAATAGCATTGTGCCATATATTGTAAGCACCATATAAAGAAACACATCAGAATTGGAAATCTCTTAAGAGAAAATATATCTTAGAAATAAATTCTTAAGAAGTGTCAATAGTAGTTGATGAATGTTTCATTTAACTTTTTATGAAATACTTATAGCACAACTTACATTTCCATGCAGAATCTTCTGTTTATGAGTGTGTGTTAAGTGTTGAACAATAATAGAATGACTACTCTGGATTTTTTTAAAAGCCTAAGAACCAGGAGAGCAGGCCATGAGGACATCACCATTTAATATTGAGTGGGCATCCTGATCATATTTACTGTGTTTAACTCTGCAGATAGAATTGAGGCCCTGTGATTATCTGCTTTCTTCATTGAATTATGCCAAGCAGCCACAAAAGGGACTGCACAAGTTAAGTGCTTAATATGCATGTAATTAGTGAATGGAGCCTAACCACAGCCTTCCAAAATGTCTAAGTGGGCCTGAGGCCTGTGTGTCAGCACCCAGGGACCTCTGTTATGTCTGTGTGAAGGACAAAGACCAGCTAAAAGAATTGCCTTGGGAGACGGGGGCAGGCGGATCATGAGGTCAGGAGATCAAGACCATCCTGGTCAACATGGTAAAACCCCGTCTCTACTAAAATACAAAAAAAAATTACCCAGGGTGTTGGCATATACCTGTAGTCCCAGCTACTCGGGAGGCTGAGGCAGGGGAATCGCTTGAACCTGGGAGTCAGAAGTTGCAGTGAGCCAGGATCACACCACTGCACCGCAGCCTGGGCAACAGAGACTCCACCTCAAAAAATAAAAAAGAAATACTAACTATAATAATAACAACTCTTCTGTTCATGAGTGGCCCTTCAGATGGTGACATTAGAGTTCCCAACATAAGGAAAGTGGCCCTAAATCCCCTGCACAACTCCCTTTTTTGTACTGACCCCATGATGTAAAATTCTCCCATTTATTCATTTGCCACAAACAAACTTCCTTTACAACGGCAAAAAGCATTGCTTCAGATTGTGACTGTTTTGGGACATAGGGTCATTAAAGAGGTAATTAAGATTGTGAGTTCACTGGCATGGGACCTAATTAAATATAGCGGGTTCTTATAAGAAGAGGTAGTAAAGACAGAAGCACAAGAGAAGATTCTGTTAACACAGAGTTAGAAGACAACCATCTACAAGCCAAAGAGAGAGCCTTGGAGAAGTCATTCCACCAACATCTGTTAGATTTCTAATTTCCAGAACTGCAAGAAACTAAATTGCTGTTTTTAAGGCCCTTCATTCTGTGATGCTGTGTTATGGCAGTCCTAGCAAACTATTACAGCCTATTAGTACACACACACAATATTCCCTGCAGTATGACTGACATGGAAAGAGGATGGTATACCATGCTGCATCAGCATTGAAAGACTAAACCACCGTGGGGAAGAGCCTCCCTTGTGGCATATTATGAAGACGTGTGTGCACACCTCCTTCCCTGATGGAATATGGGGATGAGTTCTTGAGATGACACATTGCGGGAACATGCATAAGGTAGTCTCACCTCCTTTTTTTGTACAACACATTCCCCCACTTTTGTGTAAAAACTTCCCTAGTAATAGTGTTGGCTTTTAAGTTTTGGAGAAGATCTGTAGGACTGAAGCTGCATGCCACAGGAGATGCCTGGAGGGGGGAGTTAAAACAATACAAACTGTAGCAACATGCAAAAATGCTCATAGCCTAATGTAAAGTGAAAATAAGATGAAAGCCTTTTCTCTAATATTTCTACAAGTATGTGAACAGAGACTTCCCACCTAACCAAGTTGCCACTGGGACGAATGAAGGCCAGACTGTATTGAAACAGGACTGTGGGTCACTCCTGGGAAGGCCCTAGGACAGAGGTCAGAGAGTTTCCATATTTCAATCTGGGACCTGGGCCTATCCTGGTCTTCTCAGGTTCCTATCTCTAGAGACCCCTAGATGCCTGCTCTCCCCACAGCACAGTGCTGACTAAGGTTGGTGGTGTAGGGCACCCGGTCTTTTTCCAAAGAGATGGAGGAGTTAGACTCATCAAACAGCTCCTCATTAATCTGAATGTGACTCTGTAAAGAGTGCCCAGCAGCCAAGCTGAAAGAGATGAATTGCCCGCCTTGTTTTTACCATAGATGACACCTCTATTGAAATTTTGCTCTTCAGATCAGGCACATAGGAACATCTGCATAGATCTTCAGCCAGGAAGGAAACCAGAGGACAGCTTAAAGTCTTGGGATTCACATGTGAGTGGACAAACTTGGTCCCCATTTTGCCAGCCATGACCTAGGTGTGAACATGACAGACCCACAAGAGTTTCAACTTTTGACAACCTGGTTCTGTCCAGGAAGAATGCCCTCACCTCTTCATCCCCCTGCAAGACATGGCAATGGGGGACGATGTGGGGCTGTCTAGATGAAATGACAAGAGAGGACTGGCCTGGATGTGTTCTGGGTTGCCCTGTTATCTGTGGGTGTGCCTCGAAATGAGGGCTGAGTGGACATCTGCATTTTCAGAGAAGGCTTTTAGTTTGAGCCTTTTTAAGGCTAAAACTCAGAAATGTAAGGATACCATGGAAGAGCATGTTACTCTCTTGCGCATCTCTCACCAGAGGAGCTGGATACAGAGTTGTCTCTAGGAGGTGGGGTCCTGGTTTTCTAAGTTCTGTTGGGTTCCATCACCAAGGAAGTATGTTAGTCTCTTCAAGGTTCCATCCACTGGCCCCTTCTTTCTATAAGACCTACCCAAAGACCCCAC